GGGGGGGTTAGACAGATAAACTAGAAAAAGGTGCCCCTTCTGGGGATACTCAGCAGGTGCAGTGGGTTCAGGGCTGACTTTTAGCCCAGTCACCTCCTCGGCTGTTCGTCTGTACTGTGCTCAAACTTCATACCCTCCTGCACTGGCCACCCTGGGTGTCTTTCTCCCTAATTAAACTCTAGTGCTTAATTAAGAGTTAAGGAAAAGGACGTTGTAGAGGATGGTGATCTTTTCTCACCCAAGGATTAATTTTGTGTCTTTTCTGAGCTGCAGCATTTGGTTGTCACATAACTATTTTCCCTAAACAGATTTTATTCTGCCCCTGTTCATTGTAAAGTGTAAGCATTTCCACTTTGGAGGAGTTAAGTTTGTCTTCCAAAGCCCTGATTGGTCTTTATCCATGTGCCTTGGGTCTTTCTGCATGACTGAAACAGTAATCAGAGAAGCAACAACAACACGTTTCAGAAGATGGGGTGAGAGGGGAGATGGATAAAAATAGGCAGCCCAGCTTCACGAAAGCATGGTTTTGCTTCACATCTCTGACAGTATTTTGAGAAAGGAACACAGAGGATTGCCAGAGGGAGGCTGTGATTGAGTGGAACCCATGAATGTCTTTGAAATCCTGACCCTTCCAAAAAAGGATGGGAAGGAGTTGGGGGAAAGTTCTCGCTGGTATAGATGAAACTACCTCATGAAAGTGACTTTGAAACCAGCCTGGAGTCCCTAGAGCAGGCCTAACGAGGACTGGGACAAGCTCAAGGTGGAGAAAGAAAGAAGCCTGCTAAGGACTAGCATTAGCTGATTGAGTTCACTAAGCCAGCATTTTCCAATGGCCTCGCGTTTCCTGAAATATGAACTTGAGTACGCTGGCTCTTAGGCAGCGTGTTGTATGTATGTGCATATGTTCGTTTCTCTGGGGAGAGAATCCGTAGCTTTCCTGTGTATGTACATACGTTCGTTTCTCTGGGGAGGGAATCCATAGGCTTCCATCAGATTTTTCAAAGGGATCTGTGATTCCTTCTCCCAAATTAAAAACTGTGGAAGTAGCCACACCTGTAGATTACAGAGCTGGCTGTTCGTGGTCTGAATTACATGGAAAAGGGTATGTACGAAGCCTTGAGGATTGGCTACTCTCACTACAAAAAAGCCATCCTTAAACTTTCTGGTGGTGCAGTGGTTAAAGCGCTCGGCTGCTAACCAAAAGGTTGGTGGTTCAAGCCCACCAGCCGCTTCGTGGGAGAATGAGTGGCAGTCTGCTTCCATAAAGATTTACAGCCTTGGAAACCCCACGTGGGG